AGGTTGATTATAAATGTGATCTCTAGCCGGGCGGTGGTGGCGCACGCCTTTAATCCCAGCACTCGGGAGGCAGAGGCAGGCGGATCTCTGTGAGTTCCAGGCCAGCCTGGGCTACCAAGTGAGTTCCAGGAAAGGCGCAAAGCTACACAGAGAAACCCTGTCTCGAAAAACCAAAAAAAAAATAAATAAATAAATAAAAATAAAAATAATTCCCTCCGTCTGTTCTGTGGCGATGGCTAGATCACTTCACACCCATAACAGCAGGCATTTTATCCACCTCTTTAGACCCAGGAGAAAGAAGATGGCGTGAGTTCTTCCCAGTGCCGACAGCAGCATACTCCTGAAAGCCCAATGTCACCTCTGCGGTCTCAAGCGTCTCACTGGAGCTTAGACTGCGTGGACACACCCCCTTTCATCTCTGTCCTCCTCCTCCTCCCCGGCAAGGTGAAACTGAATGTGGTCCTTTTGTGCCCGCTGTATTCCTTCAAGCCCTCTCATTTCTGTGTTAGGATGTTATTTATTTTGGTTTCCATGGGAGCATTCAGTAGTGTTGTGGTTTGAATCTTAAATGTTCTCCGTATACTAAAGGCTTGGTTGCCAGCCTGTCACACTCTTGGGGGAGGTAAAACTTTTAGGAGGCAAGGACAGGTGGAAGGAAGGAAGGTCATTGTCGGGGGGACTTCGCTCCTCTTCTGCTTCTCTTTCCTTCCCAGCAGCATCGAGGTGAGCAGGATGTATGGTCCTCACTGTGATACATTACCTCCCCTCCAGCCAAAAAACGAAAGCACCAATCAAACAGCTGGGATGATGAGGCAGAATACGTTTGTAAGTTGTTTCTCTCAAGCATTTTAGTCATGGCGATGGAAAACCGAGGTAAGTGGCCCCGTGGTTTCTAAGGGACAAGAGTCCTTGATGCTCAGGGTGGATTTATGAAGTGATTCTTAAGTTCTAGGAGTTTTAACATTAAAGAAAGGAGAAACAGAATGATTGAGAGAACTGACGTTCTGAATGCAGCCTGTGCGTGTAAACCAACTACATTGTTAGCTTACTTGGGATTTGTTTCCTTTAGAGCGAGAAAAAGAACACGATGCAGATACGTATGTATGTATATAGATATGGAGACGTGTGTGTATATTTGTACATATGTGTATATATGGACATACACATATATTTGTGATTGTCAACTTGGCTGAACTTCTGATCTTTCTTCATCTTCTGGCAGCTAAAGAGAAGCAGTCGATATGAAAACAACTCCTGACAGCCAAGTCTAAACACAAATGCCTGCTCCCTCTGCCCTCACCCTGTCAACCTACAAAACATGGCTCCATGTGTAAGTGGCAATTTATTGTGACCTCCATGCCCACTCAGGGGTGCATATCCACCCCTGCCCCCTCGGGGCTGATTTTTCTGACTGGTAGAGCTCTCCATGTGGACTGTATGTGTCTGGGAAAGCCAGGTTTAATGAGCTGGAACAGGAAGGGACGGGCTGTGAGTGACAAGCTGGTCTGCTGCCTGCCTCAGGGCCCAGCAGAAATGCTGTCAAGGCAGACACTGACTACTCCAGCATCATAGAAGTAGTTGACTACTTGGTTCTGTTTTCCACTCCGTATCAAGTTTTGGTGGCATGTAAAACGATGTTATTATTCCTAATGATTATCACTTAATGTGGAAAGTTCCAAATAAGAAAATAGTTGTGAAACCGGCCTTCCATGATTGGACCGGGAATATCTGCACTAGTGATAGAAAGTGGCAGTTACCAAAGCGTGGTCCGGAACTCCAGTGAGGCCATATTGCTGCCCCAGCCCTGGGAGATTCTTTCTCCTTTCCTGAATTCACACTTAACAAGTGATAATTAAATTTGTATCTCTAGTTGAGAGGCTCTGTAATTTAAGACTTAAAATTCTTAAGACTGTAGCATAGGCTAAACATAATCGTGTAAGAAATATGAAGCAGGCTTTTAAAAGATCCTTTCTGATTAGAGAAACAGGCATCAGTTCCTCACTGCCAAGAAAAAGGCTCAGCAGCTGAAACCGTGAGCTGTCCCGGGAGAATTACCTTCTTCACTGTCGAGTGGGAAGAAAAGGCTGGGTCAAAGGCGTTGCTTGGATGTTTGCTGGATGGACAGTCTTCTTCCCAGAAAGCTAGTTTTCCATGGATGCCCTGTTCTTAGTGCTTGTGTGTGCTCATGTGTCCACGTGGGGGCAATTGTGTGCATATGCATGTGTAATTGTATTCATGTGGGTGCACTTGTATGCATATGCATGTGTAATTGTGTTCATGTGGGTACACTTGTGTGCATATGTATGCAGAGACCAGTGGTCCATCTCAGATGTCACTCATTCCTCAGGAACCATCTACCTTGGATATTCAGACAAGGTCTCTCATTGGTCTGGGACTCTCTGGTTAGGCTAGGCTGGTTGGCCAGCAAGCCTCAGGGACCCACCTGTCTCTGCCTCTCCAGCATTGGGGTTACAGGCACGCACCGCCGCTCCTGAATTTTCTTATGTGGGTTCTGGGGATGGGACTCGGGTGCTTGGGTGGCAGTCGCCATACTGACTGAGCTACCTTCCCAGCCCCAGGAGCTGTGGTTTCAAATGTGCCAGGGACTTGTTACCTTCACTTCTGCCAGTACCCAGCATGGAAGGTCATGCTGTGGCCAGAGGGGAGAATCAGGAATTACCTGATAGCTATTTCTAATAGCTTGTTCTGCGAAGAGTGCCTGCCTGCACATGAGACATGTTGAACTGACACATTTTTGTTGTTGGAAGAGTCCTAACTATTATCCAAGTGATTTTCAGGGATGTATTCAAATTAGGCATAGTAAGATCTATCTTTAAAAAGAAATATCGTAAATGTCCTATTTTGGTTGTTTATTATTTTGTAGGAAGTTGTTTGTTTTTACAATTCTGAAGATTAAACCTAGGGCCTTGCACATTCAAAGCAAGCACTTTATCACAGGACTTTTATACTTTTATATTTTATTCTGGTGTGTGTGTGTGTGTGTGTGTGTGTGTGTGTGTGTGTATGTGTGTGTGTGCGCACATGCGTGCATGCGTGTGGAAGCCAGAGGTTGAGGTCAGATGTCCTCCTCAACTGCCCTTCCCTTTATCTTTTGATACAGGGTATTCACCCATTCAAGTAGGCATGCCAGCTAGCAAGCTGCTGGGGATGGATCTTCCTGCCTCCAGCTCCCCAGTGCTGGGATTCAAGGTGCATTCCAGCTTTTTAGGTGGTGTTGGGGATCTGAACTAAGGCCCGAGTGCTTGTGCAGAAATGCTTTCCCAGCTCAGCCATCTTCGCAGCTCTGACTTTTATTGTTGGAGACCTCGTTTCACTGGGGTACTTAGGCTGGCCTCGAACTCACTCTGCAGCCCAGCCAGGCCTTGAACTTGCCGTTGTCCTGGCTTAGCCTCCCAGGCAGGTAGGATTACAGGCTTGTACCACCAGGCTTAGGTTTTATTATTTTTTTATTCATCCTAAATTGAAACCATTATCTTTTTGTGTATAAACTTGTATTCAAGTATAGTATACATACCCATCTTCTTTTTAATGCATTTTATTGACATATTCATAAAATTCATTGCTTTGAAGTGTACAAATCAGTGGTGTTTAGTTTAGTCCCAAAATTGTGCAACCATGTCCACTACCCAACTCTAAAATAGCCTCATCGTCTCCAAGAGAAAGCCCAGCTTATAAGTAGCCATCTCTATTCCTCAGAGATGCCTACTCTGGACACTCCATATGAAGGAAATCATAATATGGCTTCTTGTTTCTGACTTCTTCCTTGGAATATAATAATTGAAGTATAATAGTCATCCATATTGTAACCCAGATTCCTTTTGCAGCTAATATTCAGGTATATGCAACATTTTGTTTGTATATCCAATTACTATCAGTTAATTATACCTTTTTGCTGTCCAGAATAATCTTGCTGTGAACAGACATGTGTAAGTCCTTGTGTAATTGGAAGCTTCCTAAGAGTGGCATCCTGGGTGCCATGGTAACTTCGTAACTTTGGAGGAGCTGCCACACCAGAAAGCACCAGGTCATTGTACGTGGACACCAGCAGCTCCATTTATCTGTGTATCGCCTTGTAGGCTTCTCTGTTGGTTCTTATTATTATTATAAAATGATGCTCTATTGTACTTTTCTCTTAGGATATAAAGATGGTAAGCATCTTTTAATTTGCTTATTGACTATGCGTATGTATATCTTTGAAAAAAATTATTGAAATCGTATGCCCACTTTTAAATTGAGTTATTTTTTATTGATACATTGTAAGTCCCTCTCGACCTCTGGGTGCAAGCCCTTTATCGCATGCTTTTTAAATATTCCACCCTTGGGTTGACCTTACTATCTTGATGGCATCCTTTGGAGCCCAGAAGGTTTTCATTTTTCTGCGCTGATTGAACCCAGAGCTCCCACCCTAGGCCAGGACCCTAGGACTGAGCCACACCCCTCTTTTGAAATGCTGCTCTTCTGGTGAAGCCACCACATGGCCCAGTTTCTTCTCACCCGTGTGCTTTCTGCTGAGGCCCCTACTGATACGTTTACAGGATTGTCCTTAAATCGATTGAGTTGCTTTTCTCTTGCTGCTTTTAAAATCTTCTGTTGTCTTTGACCTTTTTTTAACATTATTATTTATTCATTTGTGGCAGGGCAGGGCAGGGGGTGCCATGACGTGTGTAGAGGCCAGAGGACATTGTCCAGGAGCCAGTTTTCTCCACTCACCATGTGGACCACCATGTGGGTGGATCTCAGGGTCACAGGCTTCCTGGTAAGTGTTCTAACCCGCCAAGCCCTCTGGGTAGCCAGACTTTTGGTAGTTGTGTTGTCAGGCATTATATGGAGCTCCTCAGGTTTATCCTAGTCAGAAGTCTTTGAATCTTCTCGAATTTGAATGTGTTCCCTTCTCGGATGATGGGATGTTACAGGTCACCGGCCATTATTTATTAGGTGAGTTATCGAGCCCTTTCTCCCTCTTCTAGAGTTTCCCAAATGTGTCTGTCGCCATATTTGGTCACGTTCTGTCATTTTTTACTTTTCTCCAGTTTGTTCTTTGCTCCTTTGATGGTGAATCTTCACCACCTGCCTGCTTAGATTCTAAATAGAATCACCAAGAAGGGCAGGGTGTAGTGATGCGTGCTTGTCATCCCAGCACTCAGAGGTAGTGGAAGTACGATTCCCACTCCAAGACCAGCCTCATCTATATAGCAAGTTTGAGGCTAGCCAAGGCCACATAGTCAAACTCTGTCTTTAAAAAATATAAATAAATGAATGAATGAATACCCTAGAAGAGGAGTGGGGCACAGCCCTGGGTGTGTCTATGAGTAGTTTCCAGAGAAGATGAACTGAGAGGGCCAGCCCTGGGATGTAGGTGGTGCCCTCCCATGGGAAAGAAAAGAGAGCTGGTGAAGCACCAGGGGTCCCTCCCGGTGTGCTTCACCAGGAAATTGCCATGGTCCACCAGGTCTTCTGAAAGCCTATGCACTAAGTGACAATTCACCGTCCCCCTTAAGCCTTGCAGTCGGGTGCTTCGGTCACAGCAGTGAGACAGTCGCTACCTGACCGTCTGCCTGACCGTCTCCAGGGACTTCGTTCAGCTCACTGCCCGATGGACTCTGCTGCTGAACCCCCACATCAGTTAGTGGAGTCTTCAGCTCCCGATGACCACTGGACTCCCTTCTATGGTTTCTGCCTGTGGCTGACATTCTCATTTTATTCTTGCATTGTTGTCCTTATTTCCTTTAGTCGACCCATTTGTCTAGTTCACTGAGCTCTTTCTAAACAAGTCTTTGGAATTACTGTTAGACAGGAGACCTCTGGAGATTTGTCTTGGTGCTTTGGGCCATGTTTCCCAGTTTCACTGTATGCAGTGTTGTTTGAATGGACCGTGAGCGTTTGAAGAAACACTTTGCCTACTCTTTACAGACCTCCACAGTCTGCCTGGCTAGAGACTCCCGTGCCTCTCAGCTCTCAGTTTCTCTGGAGCTGCATCTCTGTGTTTACCCATCCCTGTTGTGGAAGGTTCTCCAAATCCGAGCGTCTCGCTCCCTCTGGTGTCTGCATGCGGTACTGCAGATAGGTAGGTAAGTTCCTTTGTTTCCAGGGGCTTCTGGGTTTTACTAGTTACAATCAGAATCAGACAAGATAAAATCAATCCTTGGGAAGGCTCCCAGAAAGACAAAAAGATGGGCATACATTCTTTCCTTCCGAAAGAAGAAACAAGACCTGGGCCCCTTTCCTGGTCACACGGAGCTGGGAAGACTGAAAGCAGTGGGGACTTACCTTCTCAATACGGTTGTTCTCGCCTCTGTACTTGGCTGGGCTTGGTGACTTCCAGTTAGTTTCTGGAGTTTTTGTTAAAGCTTTATGAACTGTATATTGTGATAAAGTCAGTGTCTACAGTCTATGGCCTATGGCTTTCTATTTCATAATCTTGCCAACCTCAGTCAAGATTCTTAACTTTTTGGAATTATGGTATACTGATAATATAATGCAAGCTGTGAAATTCCTACCTAGAAAAAGTACACATACATAAAATGTGAGATGTAAGCCAGGTAGGGTGGTACATGCCTGTAATCCCAGCACTTGGAAGATAGAGGCAGGAGGCTCAGGATTTCAGGGCCAGCCTCAGCTACATAGTGAGTTGGAGGTCAGCTTGGGCTACATGAGCCCTCCACCCCCATTGGGTGTGTGTGTGTGTATGTGAGAGAAAGAGACAGAGATGAAGAAACAGAGACAGAGGAACAGAGAAAGACAGAGAGACAGAGGCATACATTTGGAGAGTGTTAGGTTCATATACACAGGTACCCTAATTTAAAAATCTTGACAGTCTGTGCAGTGAAGAGTTAAATAAGCAGCTTCCAGCTCCTCAGACTGCACATTCAAAAGAGGACTTAACCAGCAGAGGGAGATGGGTTTCTGAAGCCTTGAATATCCTGCCTAGAGTCTTTTGTCTGCCTGGAGCCTTGGACCTCAGGATAAGCATTTGGCACCAGGAGTTACGCTAACACTGAGGCCCACAGAGATGATCTGTTTTTATGTGCCTGGGATCCTAGGCCTCGTTATATCAGTTCGATTTCTGTGAACATTGGTCATTTAACAAAGGGTCTGCCTGACTATGTGACTGAACTACAGTAAAAATTCTAGACCCTGGTGCTCACGAGAGCCTCCTACTTAATGACATTTTGTACATCATTGCTGAGAAGTAAGTACCCTCTCTGGGAACAGCAGAGGACAGCTGATTTCTTCTGGACTTTTCCCTTTATGGCCCTGATCTCGATCTTTTCGCTGTAATATAGTTTCACTGTGAGCATAGCAACATTTTCTGGGCCCCACTAGCAAATTACCTTACCTTGGGAACCATTTCTGCCCTAAGCTGTTTATGCTGAGGTGGCCAACCTGCCAGGCCCGCTACAGTATGTGACCTCATGTCACTCAGCACTCGTAGTGTAAGTTGGTCCCAACAGAATGTCACTGTCTACATGCTACAAAAGTCCAAGGATCCCAGGGTGAATAGGTTCAGACCTCAGCATCGACCTCCCCCGCTTTCCAAATCTAAGTGGTAGAACTCACGCATGTGGGTCAGAGTCTTAGCTTTCTGTCACTTCCAATTTCTCTCAGCACGGCGGCGGCGCTCTACCCTACCAGCCCCCACTCCCCTCCCTCGCCACACTCACACCTGAGGGCCTACACTCCGAGGCCACCAGTGGATGCCTGCAACAGAGGTGCTGCTAAACCTGACCGCCAGCGCCCTGTGTGGCACTACCCGCCTCACACACTGCGCCCGTGACATTGGCACTTGAGGCACGGCAGCCAAGCCAGCACAGGCGTCTTCATATGTCAACTTCATGAAGAACTTGCGCTTATTCTAAGTTTTAGCAGCTTCCTCTGAGCCTTCACCTTTCACCTATA